TATCTAATTTACACTTACCTCATCTTGTATATTTACTCCTTATTCTTACCCCGAACAGTTTTCACCTATTGCCACCTTGATACCAACTTAATGGTCCACTTTTTATTCCCTAAGGTTATATTCAAGCAATTCAGTAAGTGCTCTTTTTGGGTCTATGGGTGATATAGAATTTCTTTAGGTGTAATATATTGAATTATATTCATCTAGGTTTGTTCTCTGGCCATCTGCCTGTTATTTCTATGCGGGGGTTGGGGAGTATGTCACTATGAATGTATCAATAACATATGTTTATATAAATATATATATATATATATATATATATACAGAGAGATAGAGAGAGATGCCCTTTTGATGTCTTTTTGGTTCTGAAGCCAATTAATTGGTGAAACGCGTTGACTTGCTGACATTAGATAAGCTCGCTTAATCAGCAGTGGGCATACACTATTTAAGTTGGTGCTATAGGGAATACCTAGTGCTTCAGTCCTAGTGTCATTTTATTTAACTATTGTGTGTGCTCGCTTTCCATATAGGAAGTCTTATTATGTTTTATGTCAATTTTATTCATAGCTAATAAAGCTTATGATTCATGTTTAGTAATCCTTTCATACTGTTTCAGTAAAGTCTGGGTTCAGCTGGAATATATCCAGCGTATACCTTTATGTTATTTCTTCTACTACTCTGTAAACACTGAGTCAACCGTTCTGTGATCCAGGTGAGTGCAAGTTAGAATATGTCAGAATACCCTCAAGTGCGAATGGCTCTGAGACTCACCACCATAGTGCTACTCCACAGCCATTCTGGGAATTAAATTGTCACAACTTGTATACATTTTGATTAAAAAGACCTACAGAAGTGGTTTCCTTGCAGGGACATAGATAAGGGGGGAGTTTGGGGGGTCTGCACCCCCTTCACAGCACCCTGCCTGGATCCGCATTGCTCAGCCTTACCAACAGGCAGGCTGTGCATCGAAGCCGGCTGACATCCTCCGCAGCGCCTCTGCCCTGTATTGTCACCGTCAGCACTAGGGGGGGCATGGAAGGCATGTTATTGGTTGCTAGGACATCGGCAGTCCTAGCAACCAATCAGGCGCTTGCTCCACCCCCAGGCCACAACATTCAGAGGAGGAGGAGGACTGCAAGGACAGGACTTCCTTCTTCCAGCTTGTGTAGCTGCCTGGAGGAAGGAGATGGAATGGACCCTGAAGTAAGGAGGGTTAGGGGATTCTGATGTAAGGGCAGGGGGCATTTTGGGGAAACAAATTAAAGATAATGGGCTCTAGGGACCCTGATGTAAGGTGGGGGACTCTGAAGACCATGATGTATAGGGGGACCCTGATGTATTGGGGGGACTTTTGGGACCCTGATGTAAGGGAAGGGGGGTACTCTGGGGAAACTTATTTAAGGAGAGGGATCTGGGTCTCTGGGGGACCCTGATGTATGGGGAGGGTCTATGGGTGGGGGACTCTGGAGACCATGATGAAAAGGTGGACCCTAATGTATTGGGGGGGACTCTTGGGACCCTGATGTAAGTGGTAGGGACTATGGGACCTGGATTTAAGTAGGGGGACTCTGGAAACCATGATGTAAAGGTGGACCCTGATGTATTGGGGGTACTCTCGGGACCCTGATGTAAGTGGTAGGGACTACAGGGACTCAGATTTAAGGAAGGGGGCTCTGGGGGACCATGATGTAAAGGATGAGCCTATGGGGACCCTGATGTAAGGTGGGGGGGACTCTGGCGACCATGATTTAAAGGGGGATCCTGATTTATTGGAGGGGATTTTTGGACCCTAATGTTGAGGGGGGACTCTGCAGACCTTGATTTAAGGAGGGGGAACTTTTTGGACCCTGATGCAAGGGGAGGGGTGTGGGGATGCTGATGTAAGGGGGGGACTTTGGGGATCCTAATTTAGGAAGGTGAGACTCTGGGGACCCTGATGTGAGGGGGGTGACTCTGGGGACATTGATGTGAAGAGGGAGGACTCTGCAGACCCTGATTTAGGGAGGGGGTGACTCTGGGGACCCTAATGAAAGGGGGACTCTTATGTAAAGGGGAAATATGTGGATCCTGATATAAGGTGGATGACTCTGGGGACATTGATGTGAGGAGGGGGGATTACAGGGACCCTGATTTAAGGAGTGGGGAATCTGGGGACCCTAATCAAAGGGGGGACTCTGATGTGAGGGAAAACTCTGGGGACCCTGATTTAAGGAGGGGGTATTATAGGGGTTTTGATGTAAAGGGGAGCTCTGAGGACCCTGATTTAAGGAGGGGGAACTCTGGGGGCTCTAATGTAAGGGGAGACTCTGGGTACCCTGATTTAAGGAGGGGGAACTCTGGGGGCTCTGTTAAAAGGGGGGACTCTGAGGTCCCTGATTTAAGGGGGCCCTAATGAAAGAGGGGACTCTGGATGCTCTGATGTAAGGAGGAGGGATTTGGGAACCCTAATGAAAGGGGGGCTCTGATGTAAGGAGGTGACTCTGGAGACCCTGATCTATCCCTCTATCAAGGCAAGGGGGAATTCAAACGGTACATGGTTGGGCCAGCTGACAGATCACTCCATCTGTTGTCTGGCAATCCCGCCCACCACACTCAAGTGTTTTCTTGCCGCTGCTTGGCAGTGCCTTCTGCAGTGCAAGGAGCCTGAACTGGTGGATACATTAGTCTGCCTACAACCCACCGCTCCCTTGGCCTCAGAGTCATCTGTCACAAACCTCTTCCACCCAGGCCCAGCCACCATTATTAACATAGGTAAGTAACTGCTGCCTTTTCTATTATTTATTTTTTATTGATACCGCCAGCCATCTGACTTGGCACCACATGTCCGTCCTCAGTACCCTGGCCCAACCAGGGGTGGACTGACAACTCATGGAGCCCCCGGGCAATAGCGGATCATGGGGCCCCTGTGTCTTTGCTCAAACTCAAAAAAGCCTATGAAAAAGGTACCAGGGGCATCTCATGGGGCCCCATACTGACCTCGGGCCCTCGGGCAGTGCCCGAGTTTCCAAATGGTCAGTCCGCCCCTGGGCCCAACATATCTCCCAGACCTAGCGCAGGCACCAAGATATGGTAGGAAGGGCATTGAGAACTCACAGCTTTTGTATAACACATATTATGATTGAAAGATTCAAAAACCAGTACACTTCCACAGTGTCATGGTGGTCTTTGCACCTGTTCAATAATCAGGTGGAAAAAGCACCATATTGTGGCAGGTAGTGTACTGTTTTTTTTAATCTTTCAATCAGAATATGTGTTATAAAAAGCTGTGAGTGCACTGCCTACCAAAATATGGTGCGTTTTGCAATGCTTACAGTGCCTTGAAAAAAAGTATTCATACCCCTTCAAATACCCCTTGATACCATTTATCATTTTCCTTCCACTTCACAATTGTGTTGGTCTATCACATAAAATCCCAATAAAATACACTTACTTTTTGGTTGTAACATGACAAAATGTGGAACATTTCAAGGGGGAGGAAGACTTTTTCAAGGCGCTGTAGGTAAGGTTACACAGCAAGGATGGCTTGCCTGTTGTCAAATGTTAGGTTACTTTCATATTGATGTTTTTCTTTCTTTTTTTTTAGCTTGCTAAAAAATGCTAGAAACATATTTCCCTTTAAATCCTAAGGGACTCTTCACTACTTTTCTACGGCTGGGCTGAGGTGCAGTTTGAAAACTCCTATATGCTGCATCTTTGGTGTGCTTTTCAAAACCACACCAAAAACGCATTTCTTTATTGAAAAGTATAGAAAATGCAGCATAGATGCATTAAAAACACAGCATTTGTGTTTTTGGTACCTTTTTTGAGCCAAGTGTCCATTTTTCACAGGTGAAAGGCAACCAGAAAATACACTGGGAAAACACCAAAAACGCATAAAAAATGCTGCAAAAACACATATGCATTTTTACCACAGAGTAGTGTGAAAGCAGCTTTAAACTGACAAATCCCCAAGTGAAAAAACAAATGGGCTTTTAGAGGCGCCATACTACAAAGTTTAAAGTAAAAAAATTTAGCATAAACAACTTTATTAATAGAATTCAAACTGCCGTTGTGGTAGTGAAAAATTGAGCATGTAATACATACTGTACATCTTAAAAAGCATACATTGCTTAGGACATGCACAGGTAATATACATCTCTGCAAAATATGGCCTATGACAACATGAATAGCATAATTGACATAGTTGTTCCAAGTTGATACTTTGCTTGATTCTCCAATGCGTTTCATGGGATGCAGCCCGCTTCTTCAGGGAGACAAAATATATTGCTCTGAAATTGTACAAAATAGGCCAAAAACATAAAGATGAATATATGACATATTAATTTCACAGTAATAAATCTAACACACTCTATTAACATTTACTCAATAGTAACATCAATGACTTTGAGGGAGGCCAATGGAGAACATGAGCATTGTATCCAAACAAGAATAGAAAGAGAATCTCAATCAAGAATGTAAATGTTTGCCAATTAGACAGGATTACCAATCCACAATTGGAAACTGCAAAATCATCAAAAGATCAAACATGTTTAACCACTAGCCTACAGGGCACTTATACCCCCTTCCTGCCCAGGCCAATTTCCAGCTTTCAGCGCTGTCACACTTTGAATGACAATTGTGCAGTCATGCAACATTGTACCCATATGAAATTTTTATCATTATTTTGAGACAGATAGAGCTTTCTTTTGGTGGTATTTAATCACCTCTGGGATTTTTATTTTTTCTTAAACAAACCAAAAACCACTGAAAATTTTGAAAAAAAAAAGTTTTTTCTTAGTTTTTGTTATACAATTTTGTAAATAAGTGATTTTTCTCCTTCACTGATGTGCGCTAATGAGGCTGCAGTGATGGGCACTGATAGGCTGCACTGATGGACACTGATAGGTGGCACTGATGGGCACTGATGAGGAGGCACTGGTAGGTTGCACTGATGGGCATTGACAGGCATCACTGATGGGAACTGAAAGGCAGTGCTGATACATGACACTGGTATATGGCACTGATAGGCAGCACTGACTGGCACTGATAGGCGACACTGACTGGCACTGATAGGTGGCACTGATTGGCAGCACTGATAGGTGGCACTGATTGGCATTGATAGGTGGCACTGACTGGCACTGATGGGTGACATTGAAAGACAGCTCAGATGGGCACTGATATGTGGCATTGATGTGCACTGGTATGCACTGATATGTGGCATTGCTGTGGCGCTGATGGGCACTGGCATGTGGCACTGATGGGCACTGATGGACACTGACAGGTGGCACTTCTGGGGCCACACTGATCATCAGGGCACACTGATGATCAGTGTACATGTCCCCTCCGTGGAAAGCCGATTACCAGCTCTCCTCTCCTCTCGAGCTGTCAGCGTGACAGCTCGAGAGGAGAGAAATGCCAATAACCGGCATTTCCGTGTTTACATGTGATCAGATGTGATTGGACACAGCTGATCACATGACTGAGCCGACATGCGCATGCGCACAGAGAATGGTAGGACGTCATATGAAGTCCTATCAGAAGGAGAGAACCACCTTGCACCCATCATTGTACTATAGGGCGGGCGGAAGGTGGTTAAAGTGTCCCAGGGAATTAAAAACTACACCTCTACTCCCCAAAGCTCTTAATGTGACAGATTGGAAGAAACCCAATGTAAATGGACACAAGTCCACTTACATCTGGCAGCCCAAAGATCTACCATGGGTCTGCAAATGTTTGCTGACAAAATACTAAACCGTATGTTTACCACAAAAGTGATGTCTGTCCCATTTTGCTCCAGATCAGCAAGGGATCTGCTCATGGACACCCTGCTGAACAGAGCAGAGTGTACTATGTGAAAGGATCCCTAATTTGTTTCAAACTAGGGATCAAATGTTTCAAATGAATGATATGAAATCTACAGCAAATCATCTAGGCTTGCTGGGGATTCTGGAAAGTAGTAACACAAAGCAGATAGAAGGCTGCTGTCTAGGCAAAGGAATGGAGGACGTTATTTCCTTTTGTTTAGCTCATTAGAATGTAAAACTGAAATGTAACACATATAATTCTACTAAAGTAGAATTTCAGGCTGGAAAATCAAGTCAAATTGCATTGCTAGCAAACCAAAGCCAAATTCATGATACATGACTCAGATTTTGTTTTTCTATTTTGTTGTTACAACCTGCCTAATAATATGAGCAACCTGAACAGGCGCAAATGGCTTCATGTTGTGGTAGGCAGTGCACTCACAGGTTTTTGTTAAGCTTTTTTAAATTTTAATAAATCATCTATGGTAGATCACTCTTCAGAGGGCATTTGACAAGTGGTGGGGAGGCATTAATAGTGCAAAATCTGCATCACTGCACTGCAACTGCGTGGTGAGTGGTTAGTGCTTGGTGGATGCTTCTGCCAGTTGAGTTTGAGTACCCCCGTCTGCTGAAACTTAAGGGAGAGTGGTGGGGGGGGGGGTTAAAAACACAGCCTAGCTGCGAGCTGAGCCTCCCCCGGAAAGAAAAATGATCTACAGCCCTGTTTCTTTGTACAGTGTTTTAAAAGTCACTTGCCAGCAATTTTGTGGTGAGTACATCTGGATAAATACATTTGAGCACAGCACAACAAAATTTCTGTATAATAATGTCATAAAAATCTAAACAGACACATGAAATACAGGCAGGGGGTAATTCTAGTGATCCTTGCATACTGTTTCTAATTGCAGAAGCTTCAACTGAAAATAATAATCTTTCAAAATAGTCATCATCAAAATAACATGGTTTAATGACAAGACTTTGGACTTCTAGGACATAAACCTGTGACCTCCACAGTAAACTATTTCACTTAGTTTGCTTTGATTCTCTTCTGGTTCCTGAAAATCAGCTTTTTTTAAAGCAGGCTGAAGATTCCCTATTCTGAATATTTCTTTCTATTCAAAGGAAATGAAAGATAAAAATGTGGGCAGATGTTTAAAGTTAACCTCGATCTACAATGCTTCAAATTAATGATATGAAACCTACAGCAAATCATCTAGGCTTACCGGGGTTTTTGGAAAGTAATAACACAAAGCAGATAGAAGGCTGCTGTCTAGGCAAAGGGATGGAGGACGTTCTTTCCTTTTGTTTAGCTCATTAGAACGTAAAACTGAAATGTAACACATATAATTGTACTAAAGTAGAATTTCAGGCTGGAAAATCAAGTAAAATTGCATTGCTAGCAAACCAAAGCCAAATTCATGATACATGACTCAGATTTTGTTTTCCTATTTTGTTGTTACAACCTGCCTAATAATATGCAAATTAAAGACTTAGCATCTGTCTATGTTGCGTATTAGTTAACTAATTTTAACGGTTTGCTTTAATGCTTGCAAAAATTATAATGTATTGCTAGCTGTGCTAGGGGTCCTCAGGTTGAATCCCAACCAGGGCACCACCTGCATAGAGATTGCATGCTCTCCTCGTGCCTGAGTGGGTTTCCTCCTGTTACTTCAGTTTCCGCCATCACACCAAAGACATGTTGGTAGGTTAATTGGTTCCTGTCTAAGTTGGCCCTAATATGGGTGCCTGTATACAGTTTTCACACCAGACATCCCAAGAATATTGCTACACTGAAACAGTTTTGTCTGTATTCACACCAGACATCCCAAGAATATTGCTACACTGAAACAGTTTTGTGAAGAGGAGTGGTCCAAAATTACTGCAGATCGTTGTGCAGGTCTGATCTGCAACTACGGGAAACGTTTGGTTGAGGTTATTGCTGCCAAAGGAGGGTCAATCAGTTATTAAGTCCAAAGGTTCACATACTTTTTCCTCCCTGCACTGTGAATGTTTACATGTTATGTGCAATTAAACCATGGCAACATCTAATGTTTGTGTAGTATTATGTTCAGCAGACTGTGTTCTTCTATTGTTGTGACTTAGATGACGTTCAGAGCACATTTTATGCCCAATTCATGCAAAACTCCACGTAATCCCAAGGGGTTCACATACTTTTCTTGCAAGTGTATATACATGTGAGAATGGGACCATAGATTGTAAGCTTGTAAGAAGGCAGGGACTGATGTGAATGCACATTATGTAAAGCACTGTCAGAATTGTTGGCACCATATAAATACCTATAGTAAATAAAACTACAGTAATAAATAAATAACTTGTACGTTCAGCTTGGGGAACCAAAGACTCAGTAAGACCAAGTCCCTCTAGATGTCAAAATATAAGCAAGGACGTCAACCAGTCTTCAGCAAGGCATTAAATTAAGTCATGTGACATTTGTCCAGTTTTGCTGGATCTTCAGAAAATATGACAGAGACCAGTCTGTGCTCAGAATTCAGAACTGAGACAACTAGATACATAAAAGTTTCATAAGAAAATAAGAAAAAAAAGGGGATTATCAGTTTTCATTTTACTAGCCTGATGGTGGACATTGTAGGAGCCTGCAGCAGTGGGTGGACACATTGGAAACAATTAGAAGCTCTTTTATTTTTGTTTTTTTTTCTGTAATTCAGGACCTAGTTAGTCCCCCCCACTCTATAACGGCAGTGGTTTAGATTGGAAGTGAGGGAAAATCTGCAACAGGCACACAGGGAACAAAGGTTCTAGCCTTCGCCCTACTTTGCTGTAAACAATTCTATGTCACTCAGAAACAATTAACCTGCACTTGGATAAATATACTAATCATGTGACAATAAAAAAATAAAAAATCGGAGAAAAGCAGCTCGCATATCAGGCAATATACATAATAGAAAATAAATAAAAGTTGCAGCTCTAATCAAAAAACATAAAAAACATAAAGTCCAATAAATCAAAAAAAGTTCCAGTTAAAAAGTCCCAAATGAAATTCCCACAATCCACCATCACCAGGACACCCAAATGGTTCAGCCTCTTACCAGAAATTCTGATCGAAACACACCAGTCAATATAGGCAACTCAAATCGGAGATGAATATGTGTAGATCATGGAACCAGCAATCCTCATCCAAATAGATATCAATCCTCCTCTCAGAGATCTGAAAAAGGTCCTAAAAGAAGACTCCCATCCAATATGCAGATATAAAAGGATGGAGCTTCGGCATGTAACGTCATTGTGTTTTTTGGAGGGATGGCGGCCATTTTCCTGGTTGGAAACTTGATTCAAATGCTGGTAAACCATCCAATACAATGTACAAGTAACTTGTAATAAACAGGGTGATTTTTTTTTTTTTTTTTGTATTAACAATTTTTTGGTTTTCAAGTAAATCAAGTGTTACAGAAAACAAAGGGAAAATAAAACAAGCAAAACATAGAAGTAGGATCGATGGCTAAGATTACATTTGGTCAGGACCAGTGGAGTCATATAGTAACAATGCAAATAAAAAAAAAATCATGGTCTGGTACAATTTGGGCTGGATAGAGGAAGAGAAGGTATTTTCACGGGAGCCAAATCATCTCAAATACAGCAAACGAACCACTATGTGAAGCAGGGGAAACACTCCATCTGTCTTAAATCGGGTAATAAGTTTCCTCATACAAAGTTTGCAATGAAGGTGGGTTAGAGGATAACCAACACATAGGAATACTTCTCCTGGCCGCTGTTAGCACATGTGCAGCAAGTTTTTATACTGGCCAGTTTTAGATAGACCCTTGGAATTTGGCAAGCCCAGCAAAAAAAGTGGGTCAAATGGGAGAGAAACTTGCAACAATGATTGCAACAAGGAGCGGACCTCTTCTCAAAAAGGAGCAATGGAGCTGCAGGTCCAAAGAATATGATTAAAGAGAGCCAGAAGCGCTACTACAGCGCCAGCAGGCAGGAGAAGCACTCGGATTATAAACATGAAGAACTTCCGGGTTTAAAACAGGGTGATTTTATTATTTAAATACTACACATGTGTGGCCTTTTTCTTTTATTTCCTTATCTAAATATTGGATGGGAGTCTTCTTTTAGGACCTTTTTCAGATCTTTGAGAGAAGGATTGATATCTCTTTGGATGAGGATTGCTGGTTCCATGATCTACACATGTTCATCTCCCATTTGAGTTGCCTATATTGACCGGCGTGTTTCGGGCAGAATTTCCAGTAAGAGTCTGAACCATTCGGGTGTCCTGGTGATGGTGGATTTTTTGATTTATTGGACTTTATGTTTTTTGATTAGCACTGAAACTTTTATTTTATTTTCTAATTCTATGTTACTGTTGAATTTTCCCTCATTTCCAGTCTGGCGAAACCTATGTCACTGAAAATAAAGTGAGGGAAACACTCCATGGAAAATCTAGATTACAGAAAAAACAACAACAACAGAGGTTCTAATTCTTCCTCACTCTACCCAAAAATAATTTTAAAAAATGTTTTGGATGCGCATAACTCGAAAACCTATATTTGCTGATTTGTCTCTGTAAAAAGCAACATAGTGATTATGAAAGAAATATTGATTATACTTTTGATGGCCTGTGTCTTAAAATACTAGTTTCTTGGAAGTTTGTTAGTTCAATAGCTTCTGAGTCACTGACCTAAAAAAAGACGGTAACCTGTATAGCCGGTTAGTAT